GGGGAGTCGGCGCTGCGCCTGTTTATGGGAATTTATTTAGCACCACGACACACGCACGCTGACCTCCTCACTAAATAAATTCCAAGGAAAATCCGATGATTCTGAATTTTTCGGGCGTTTCCCAGCAGATTTAATCGTAGCCATTAATACACGCAGGACTTGTCTTCCTTTGTTGTTCCACTTGAAAAAATTTCAACGGGAATTTAAATTATACTTGAGGATAGATTTGCAAAATGGCAAAACGATGGAGCGAACGAGTTTTTAATAATATCAGAGATGCCGTGGAAGTTCGACTATTTCTCGAGATTTTCTCCTGCAAAAATTATAAACAAGGATGAAGATTAATAACAAAGCAAAAGCTGCCATTCACCCGCTTCATCAATCCACCCCATTCTTCTTGACAAAGAGCGGAAGAACATCGACAATCGCAATCGCCAGGCGCGATAAAGCCTTGCGGACGTCATTCAATATGGCGCGGGGTCGCTGGGGAAGTTGCATTGAGAAATTTCAATTCGTAAGGTCGATCGAGCTGGCTTGATCCATTGATCCCAGAAATATCATCGGGGTTACGCAACGTTGAATAAGCGAAGAGTCGGCCGGATGTCGATAACGTTTCAATTTGTCGATGTCAGAGCCGACGCTCGCCGCGTCGTTAGATGAATTTGTTGCACGTTTACATCAGAGGCCGGGAGGATGTAACACAATATATTTGATAAAAATACAATTATACAGTACCCGATAGTGATTTTGATACTGCGACCTTGTCAGCGTTCTCACACTTGCTGGCTAAAGTGAATGCAAGTATGGTGTGAAAACCGTAAAGGTATTTCAGGTAAAATCATACAAACGATAACAATTGATTCCTCTCGCAAAACCTCCAACTTCCTCAGCGAAGATCGAATCGAAGCGGAGCTTTTTCCCTTTCGAGAGTTTCGGCGTATTTTGGCTGTTTGGTTGCGAAATTGCAAGATTAATTGTGCCGACGACGTGGAAGCGTTCTGCCGAGAAACAGCCATTCGGAATAATATCGAGACACGATTTTACGATCCACTGGGAGAGCGAATGATAAAAGCGAGCAACATCGGGATGTTGCGGGGAAAGGGCGATCGACAAGACCGATTCGAAAGTGCTTTGCGAGCCGCGTGCTGGCCCGGCTAATTAAGTACGCCGTAAGTTAATTGAGGTGCTGCGCGTAGGAGCAAAGCCGAAGATACGAGGGAAACGTTAAACTGTGTAAACATCGAGCTAATTACTTCGAGACTTTATCGCGCTACTCCACCACCACTTTGCCAAGCTTGGCGAACGAGCTGAGCGGATATAAGTGTGCGCGCTAAAAGTGGGGGAAAAGTGCGGACCGAAAAGGGGCGAGAAGGAGAAAAGGGGCAGAGAAGGAGGATATTTCATGTCAGAGGACGGTAAGGAGAGAGAGAGAGAGAGAGAGAGAGAGAGAGAGAGAGAGAGAGAGAGAGCTGGTGTTTATCAATGGAAACTAAACAGAGAATTAGAATTGGAAATGAAGCTCGCGGCATCGAAAATCCATTGTAAATGGCCGTTACTTAATATAAACGATGTGTGGGTTGGCGATAAATTTTTATAACACCTTGAAGAGAAAGAAATATCATGCAAAATGAAACGAATTATTTGAAGAGAGTTATCGCTGAACAGGGGATCTCATCTTCGCGTGTAAACGCTCTTTTATTCTTTTCATGTGTGTGTGTGTGTGTGTGTGTGTACCACTTGATATTTTTCATGGAATTGTCATATATCGATTTACATTTTCGTCTACAATTGCTCGCTATGAAAAATCCCCGCGACCCAGGGTTAAACAATGCAAACGAGCGAGGTGAGAAGGAAGGAGAAAAGACGGAGCTTGAGGGTGCTCTCTCAACGCGCGACGATAGTAACTGCTACTCGCGGAAAGTGAGGAGACCCAGTTAATTACTAAAGCGTTTTAATCGCTGGCAAAGTTCCGTCTGGGCTGGAAGGTGCTTCGAGGATGCGGCGGCTGTGTAAATTAGGAACTCGCCAGTTTCCTCTTCGCACTTCTTCCCGCGTCCGCATTATGTACGCTCGGTCTCTCGAGACGAGTGTCAGCATAATTTCCACCAAAAGCCGACTTTTAGGTAATAATGTTCTCTGCCCCTACGAATCAACTTCCTTAAGTCATCCTTGAAAATTATTCGTCCTCCGCTCACTGAGGCTGATACTGAGGCTGATCCTTTCTTACCTGCTGAATACAACGCTGAACGTATATTGCCTAATAATATAAAAAAAGATTTGTCTCAATTATATTTATAAAATTTTAAGTATGCATTAGATGCACACTTAAATTGCTGTATTATGTTGTTACACACACATTGTACATTGTTAACATATAGTTAACAAACTTTTATAATTAACAACGAAGTTTCCAGAGGTGCAAGACAAATCGCAGAAATTGCGCAGTAACAAGCAATCTTTCCTCTCTTCTTCTTCCAATTTAACTCCTGCCGCTGCCTCTTTTTTCCAAAGGCTTTTAACTCGATATTAAATGCCTCTCTCTTTCTCACCTTTTCACCAACCCCTTCTCTCCTCTCTCCGGTTCCTGGCGCATATTTAGGGGTCGCTGGTTACAGGTTGCCTCGGCAACCACATCGAGAAACCCTCTATCGTTGCCAAGGCAACCTTCTCCTTCGTCTTCTCACCCTCTTCTCCCTCCCAGAGATTCAATTCGAGAGAGCGAGAACGAATCTGAAGGTTGAGTGGGGTAGGGATGCTGATTTCTGGAGGGTGAGGGAAGGAAGGGCGGGAGGAGAATCAAGGAAGAGGAGGAAAAAAGAAGATGGTGCGCGCCTCTGGTGATTGTATTTGATGGCGCGAGCGAGGATGTACCAAATGAGGATTTGACCTTGATTAAAGGTGATGCCTCTTTCTCCCTCCCCTCGGTCCTCCTCGTCCTACTCTCTTTATTAACGATTAGAATGCGCTTAAAATGCGATGTAAATATAAAGTCAGAAAAATTCATGAGATTTTGTAAATTTTGTATACGCAATTTCGGTCCTTGGTTATCGCCTCCTGGAAACAAAAATTTGGGCTGGTACGTTAGCTTTGAAATTAGATTGCTTGTTCAATTCGGGAAGCATCGCGGGACTTAATCGCGCGGATCCTCGTGCGGGCTTCGTATTCGCAGCTGAGCCGGGCGAAGAACTTATTCATAAGATTATTCGCCATTTTCGTCATGGCGCTCTTCCTGTATCGTTATTTAAGTTTTATATTAAAGTACGGTCCGGAGCCTCCAGGTATTTGATGTATGGCCTGCGCGTGTTCTGGTTCCTTCACCAAGACGCACCTAAACGTGAGATATCGTACCCGATCAATTTTTCATGGCTCCACCTCACCCCTTTCAGCCCTTCTCTCGTCTCCTCTTTCCTCGCTGAGATCACTGAGCTTGCCGTTAGTCGAGAAATGATCGTTAAATAACCGATCAATTATCAAGAAAGTTTGAGGAATAAGAGATGCACTAAGTAAACGCAACTCCTAATTTGCTTTTATACGGATTTAACTTTTATACGGATAACTTTAGCCCACAATTACGGAATACATAAAACATTGCAAGAAAGGGTAGTAGACTGATTGGTCGATTCAGCATAAGTTGTCGAAATTTGAAGAAGAACATAATATTAATAATTTCGATGCGAAAACTATGATCGTGAATTAAAATCTATTCTCGAATGTTGTTTTAGAAACAATACCCGAAGACGATAGATGAGTACAGTTCTCTCGACTCTGGTCTCGACGAGCGAGCGAATCGTGTACTAAATAACTTCGCTAACAAGCTGCCGCCGCCACTGTGCAAAAAAAGATTACGTAAGCGGTAATGGCCGCCGGCTCCTCCTAAATTCGAGAACGAAGTGTTCCAGGCGAGCGCGCAATCCGAGAAAGGGGTAGAGGAGGTGAGCGAGCGCACGACTCTCTCAGCCCTGGTGGGGGTTAATTTTAATTTCCCAATTTTTCCCACACTGAGGTAGCGTAGGTAATTTCCTCCCCAGCAGAGAATAGATGTAATTACTTAACGCCTCCGAGCTCCTCTTATTAAAAGAGGATCGCGCCCTCGGGGGCTGGAGGGGCGGAAGAAGCTCGGGGTGGGTGTTGCCGTAGGAGTGGTGGTACGCGATCATGGGTGTACCTCTTCCTCACGGACTCGTCCATCCACGTTCAAAACCGAAAGAGGGTTTCCCTGTGTGTTTTGTTAGTTTTATCAATGAAATATCTCATATACGCTTATTCCGTGAGGTAATAAGGTCTTTCAAATGTATCGATTTGTTCGAAAACATTTCCTATTTACGCAATCGATAAAGAACCAATAACAGACTTTCCTTATCATCTGTGATCGCTTTATCAAGTCTTGTACTTATACGGCACGTGTAACGCTGTTTAAACGCGCGAATGCCCAAGCGGTGTTGATAACAAACGCAATCTTTAAATTGGACAAACCGGATTTAGCAGATTACCGCATTTATGGGCCAAAAGCTCAAATTTGGGAAGCCTTCATTTGAAAAAGAGAGAAGAGAAGGAGAATGGACAAAACGGGCGGGACAACAATGCTGGGGCAATAAACAACCACATGACTCACTGATATATACTTTGCCTGTCCATTACAACGAACCCGACTCGGATCGAATTCGAGTGCCTCGACCGATGAGATCGGCGAAGGGTGTCTCGCAGTGGCTGTGGGAAGGGAGGAGCCATCTTGCGGCCTGTTTCAAGGCAGCCACCAATTGATTCGCCCCCACCAAATGCCACAGCCAGGCGTCGATTCAATTCCAGAACGAAAAAAGCGTCCGGTGGGCGTAGCCAGCCGTGTAATTCCTGCGAGTACATTGGCTTAAAATTCCGCATCACCCGCGAGCCCGCCGCGCGCTCAGCCAATCGGAAGTCTATGGGCGGGTCTTGATACCAGTTTCAGTTTCGTGGACAGAGGGGAGTCGTTGACTCGAGTCTCCGGGCAGATAGTGCTGTGCCGTTGGCTCGTGCCGTCGTGGTTCTGATACTAGCAGGTCCTTGCCATCAAGGAACTCTCGGAGACCCGACTGTCACGCGCACGAACCCACAGGCCGAGGAGCCGGAAGTTTCCGGTTACGTGACAACGGCCGAGAAAGTGTCGTGAACGCGTGCAGTTCAGTGATTCGACATCACAGACATGCTCTTTCCGGGCTGCGTCGAGAATTCCTTACTCCCGTGAACCGTGGGACCTTTAGTGACATCAGGTTGGGTATTGTGAAAAACTTTTGGGGAAGTTGTTATCAATGAAGGTCATCCCCAGCTCTGATCAACGATTTCTGGGAACGGACTAATTATCTTTGCCCATACCAGTGAAATTGACATCATGAATTGTTGATCGTGTACATATGATCAGCATACCGTGGTCTGATTTGCAATATCAATTGAACTCATCTAGACAGATTTTGTAAAGGTCGTGGGGACGGCGTGAAACTGTCCGACGGCTAGCGAAATATCACACAAGCCCTTCTCGATAAGCAATTTGCGTTGTAAAATTTGCAAAATATGTGAAACACAGTTGCTTGCATTCTGGGCCGTGAGATTGGTCTATAGATTTTGGAAATGTTCAACGATAAGGCGAATATGTAGACCATGATCGTAAAAAAAAAGAAACAGTCTCGGAATATGTTTGACTTGTAAGCTAATGCAAAGAGATCAACGACTGAAATGGATTGGTGTTATCATTCAGAAGATTTCAGACGGAAGATATAGATGTTAGTTCAAAGCAGCAAGGCCAAAACTTCCACAGACGCCCCAATTATCTCCATGAATAAGTAGTAGCTTATTGTCAGTGATGATCCATGGAGTGCGTTATTTAGTGATCGTGCTCCAGCAAACAAAATGGAAGATATAAACACTGTGCGTTGATCCGAGACGTCCAACGACGCCATAAACTTCTTCCAACACCTCGTCACTGTCGACAAACACCACATGATTCCAGCATATCGTCGATAAAGTGATCTCTTTCTTCCTTGGTGATCGGGTTTTGTTGATCTCACAAATTGATGCAAGAGGACTGATCGCTCTCCAACGGAGAGAAAAGTACCGGCGAGTTGGTACCGAACATGGTGTTGGAGCCCGGAGGCGGTCTGTCCTTTCCGCTGCCTCCTGGCAGCGGCTCCAGCGCCTCCGGAGGATCCCTGTTGGCCCCGACCAGATTGTTTCAAAGGACGACGCCCGTGTTTCCATTCCATCTGACAGGATGGCCGCCGCATCACCCGGTTCTGGGGCAGGTGCAAAGTCAAGTCCAGCAAAGTATGCAGGCCCAGCATCAGGCCGCTGCCGCTGCTGTTAGATTCCTCAGTCATCATCACCCGCATCACCCGCACCCGGCACTGAGCAATCATTCTCTAGTACCGGCGATCGCCGGACATCATCCCACTGCGCATCATCTGCATCATGCCGCTGATCATGGAGAGGAAGATGACGAAAAGAAGGGTAAGTAAATAATATTTGCGGACTGCACAATGTTGAAATGTGTGATTAGAGTTGTTGTATTCGCCGTAAATTAACCTTTCTTTTGAAAGTAAATGCGATTAACATTAAATCGTGACATACCTTCGTCAAAAGTGTCGATTGAAGATCTTTCTAAAATAATACAAACATGTCTGATGAAACATCTTAATTTATCAGGTATTTTTAAGAAATCTTTTAGACAGGTTCTAGACTCTGTATTTGTTTGGGCTTACCGCACTCGTACGAAACGGTGAGAAAGACACGTGTTCTTTTGCCATTTAGAAATTTTTCTGCTACGAGTTTATGATTAAGATATTGATATAAATGAATTGATATGAATGACAAATCTTCCGTCTCAATGATTAATAATACTTTAGTACACTGCTGAGATAAGGCATTTCCTGTAATTGCGCGTTGGAACTCGTTGATTGCAGCAGCCATTCCGAAATAGCTTTTGAAAAATGGTCTTCAGGGAGTGGCGTAACACGGTCAATCATAAGATCGTTCCTGACGAACCCCTGGGATCGCTTACGACGTTAGTCCCTATCCCATTTTCCCGCCCTTCCCGGCGGCTGCTCGACTGAAATCGTATTTCGTGCGCGAGAACGTCCGCGTTACCGAGGGTGGAAATCTGTTTTTTACGTGATCTCATTCACGTCCCTAACACTTGTTTATGCCTCAAAGGGAGCGCCACTTAATTCGCCTGCCTTCGGCTTCCGATTGTTTCCGCCGCTGCAAATGTATCGCGCGATACCGCAGATTTGCATAAATCGCAGGCCTCGCCCTGACGAAAGTCTAAATCTATCGCGAATAATGAAATAACGAAAGTTCAAAAATGAAATCTAACAAAACTTTTTATTGGACGTTTTTTGTATTGGACGTACGGCTGAACTTCAAGTAACATTCATAGTTTTGTAAACATCTAATTTGAAGATCTGGAATGATTTACGGATTTTTCTATCTTTACACCAGTTTAGTGTTGGGCGAATTACAGTTCTTGCTTGTTCAAGTCGCAGAAACGTCTCATCGCGTTGCCGTTTTTATTCAATAACTTTAGATTTTTTTTCCAATGGCATATCGCGTTGGATGACATTTAGCGGTTTCGTCGGCTTTGCAAAAATACCCTGCGTTTAGATTCTTTATAATTATATAATGATATCCACGCCGAGGAAGAATATTTCGCTCGTAAACACCGGTCGAGCACGCAAACGTCACTGGCTATCTCGGTACTTGTGTGAGAGCTCTTATCTAACGTTATGAAAAATAGTTTTATGGGCAAAATATTGTGAGATGTCAACATTGATCACAGTATCCGGACACTTCAAGGATTCTTCGAAAAATTCTTGAAGTAAACACAATTAAATTTTATCAGTCGTAAACACCTAAATTTCCAATTCCTGTGGTATTTGTTTCGCAACAATTCATTAAAGCATCTGGCTTCTGTTTTAAAGAATCGGCTCTAAAGGAGACAAACAAAAGGAATTTGCCGTTCGATAAGAAGCAGCAAATCGTAAATGCAATACGAGGAACTGAAATTGTCTACTGTGTTCCGCTTCAGGGCGAGTCGCATCCCTCTCAAAGGAATGCATTGTATTCTCTATATAGGCCGACAATTAATTACACCGATTCTTAATTAATCGTTCACGGTGCGTTGCGACTTTATGCCAATTAATATCATCCAACGATACGCCCCCACCATGTGATCTCTCTCACTCTCTCTTTCTTTCTCTTCCTCTCTCTCCCTCTCCTTCCCTTCCTTCTCTCTCTCTCTCTCTCTCTCTCTCTCTCTCTCTCTCTCCCCCCTCTTATTCTGCGAGACTCCCGTTTACATAATTAGCTCGGCAGCGGAATGCTCGCGGATTCGCGTGCGTATGCCTTTACACGATCGTTAAACTTTTTCAACGTTAGCACGATCGTTAAGCCAGCGCTTAGCGTCGCCGCGAAATCGCGTCCCGTCGGCGCTCGCGGCGGCTCCCAGAGGTTCACAAAGCCGCCATGCCGCGCAATCTCACAGCCGTGAATTAAGATTCAGACGGTGAGGCTGGCCTCGGCTGAATTAAAGCGTGTCGTTCCTCGCATTAATCCCGATAAGGATACTGTTATAAGAAATCAAACATATGTCGGTATCCGAATGTGAGAGTGTCCATTGTTTCTTTCACGGAAATTCTACAATGCGTGCCAGGTGTGAAGCATCCTTCCTTCTTACCTTCTTGCGAACGAGTCCAATTCTATCACAAAATTTTCGTCGTACGCCGCAACGCAGCTCGCACGAACACGTACTTTTCATACAAGTCAATCGCACGTAGATCACGTTGCATAACATGCATCTAAAATGGACAGCTGTACTTTATAGTCTACGGACTGAATGAACGAACAGCGCATAAACATTATAACCCGTGGGTTCTTGATGGCGAGCGCTCAAAGCAAAGTGAAATATTCATGAACTACAATTCGCACTCTGCAATGCCGCCGTTAACCCTAAAATGAATGGATCATTTCCATACTCACCTAAATAAATAGATACACGGGATAATTAACTTACTGGTACCCCAAGAACCCAATAAAGTTGCACAAAACATTTATGACATGCTCCAGTGTTACATAACCTCACATGAGAACGCCAGTGTTACCAGTGCCTGAAGCTGCCAACTTTAGCATAACAAAGTATATAATCCCGATATCCACTCCTTATGGTGGAATTTTAGATAATAATTGAATTGTTACTTTAAACTCCGAATTGTCCTCATTGCAGCTCTTTTTCTCTGGAAGAATCATTAAAAATAGCTTATACAGCTCAATAGAGAGTTTGTATACAATTATATGGTGTAAACTTGTAGTTCATGTAATTTGTAATCCTGATAAGACCCTTCGATAACGCAAAGACCATTGTAGAGCCGACAGACTAACCCAATTTGGCTGCTTCCGCCGAATATTGGATATACAGGGTGTCCGGGATCTTTTAGAAACGAAAAATTGTGAAGATTAATAAGATCAAACTGAGAAGAAAAGTTAAGTACCATTTTGCAAAAATTGCAATAGTTATTAAGTTGTTAATGATTGAAAATAATCGCGACTGTTTAGCGACAGGTTCAAGATTCAGGGTCCAAAGTTCAATATCACTCATATCTATCATTAGACACAATAGTCGTCATATAATTGTAGATTAGATCACACTGAACAAAAGGAAACAAAAAAGGAGGGTTAGTTCTATAATGTATGTCATCAAGACCGTGGAAGGGTGGTCTCTGTTATTCCGCATATTTACCAAATCTTTTACCATTTTGCAAATAAGTATGCAAATTTTCAAGTTATCGATTGAAAGAGCCTCTACATGCTGCGGTCATTTTCAATCATCAATAACTTCATAACTATTGCGACTTTTGCAAAATGGTACATGACTTTTCTTCTCAGTTCCATCTGATTAATCTGTACAATTTTTCATTTCCAAAAAATCCCGGACACTCTGTATATATACGTATGTGTGTGACTTTCGCAGCATATTATTTTGGTAATATCAGTAGAAGATTCGAAATAATTGTTTCCCAGTGACGAATTTCAAGGAGGATTATTCAAAGGCGGCAGACTTGCACCCTCGCTCGGCTGCAGATCGCAAGCCACCTCTTCGATTGCAACGAGCAAAAAATAACTGTGTCCACCTCCGAAAGAAACGCGACGCACTCGGAGAGGTGCAGAGAGGAGATGTACACGGAAGACCGAACGAGTCGGGTTTCTTTGGTAAGCAATCGCGTTATCGTAGCATCCTGTCATTATTTCACGATTAGACGGAACGAGCAGGCATTAAGGCGATTGACAAAAAAGGGTCTCGGCAGAAAGCGAAGGAAAAAGGGTGAAACGGAGAGAGCGAAGGGGGGCGGGGATGAGAAGGCGAGGATAAGAAGGAGTGAGAAATAGTTTAATTGGCCGCGGGACGAGGAAGTTTGAAGATAACATTTTAGCGCGGAACCGCCTGGACTCGCCGCGCGGTGTTTCTCGCGAAGATACTCCTCGCTTTCCTTTCCGCAACGATGAAGAAATAACCCGCGAGGAGTGTTGGCTCAGGCGGGTAATATAAGCCTTAGCATTAACCCTTCGTAAGCCGCCATTGACTACAATCTATAAAGCGCTGTCGCTGTGTTATTTAATGTAATAACCGATAACATAATAAAGACGAACTCTGCGACGTGATACAAGACAAAAGTGAGAAAATTCCTAGGTACGAGGCGAGTCTTCGCAAGACTCACCGCTCTTTAATACTACGACCACGGGATAAGCTGGTAAATGGTAGTAAAATTCTAGTTTTAAGTATACCGTTATGTTTATAAGCACACGCGCGCGGTGTGTGTCGACAAGCAAAATACAAAGGCGCGTTGACAAATACAAATATCATTACGAGCAGATCCCTCTGATTTTCCGTTTTTTATCCCCCATTTCGTACCGCCGAGGAAGAAAATGAATGAATGCATCTTTGTATTTACATGCTTTCTCTCTGATGAATCTGTTTTGCGCGAATGTGAGCACAATTTGAAAAAGCGAAAATCACATAGTTGACTTTACAATTGTTAACGAGACGAGCTGCGATCGCGTAGAGCAACAGCTGATTATAGAGACTGATGGAATCATTTGCGTAAATAATGACAGAACATTACGACCGTTGCGGTAATGAGATGACAGCGACGTGCAACTTTATGCGGGATGTATTAGCATATTATTATTCTAGAAATTGTAAGAGCCAAGTCGCCAAGTTTGAATGTTCAATAGCGATTTGACTCTTACTAGCTCTCTCATTTATCCCTCGCTTTTTTAAGCAAAGTATGTTTGCATAGAGAACGAAAGAAATTATTAGAAAAATTATTGGAACGATTAGACGATATTTCACACTCATAAACGGTCACATGGGATAATTGATTACCTCTCCGCTTTTGCCTGTGCTACAAAAATCCTGTAAAATTACAATGATTGTGAAACAATGATATATTTCAGTA